ATCCAGCAGATGCGTTTAACATCTGACATCACTTTGAGCATTTGATGAGTCACACACACCATATTCTTTACCACAGGAAATAGCAACACAGATACATCTCTACAGTCATCCATCAGATGACAGCGGCTGCAGTTAGAAAGAAAGCTGTCGGGGGCTTGTTTACTCCATGTTCAGTGAAATCCAGATGCTAAGACACGCTGTCTGGAGCTTTATCAGTAGAGGAACGCTGTATTGCTGAGATATGAGTCAGCAACACAGCACTTTCCTCATGAACTACATCGCACATGGGGAGAAACATCTCAAGAGAATTGTTCACAACTCTCTACAGACTCTTTTGATGATCCTGCTGCGGGCTAGACGGAGCTACATTCAACCACTGAGGTGCTTCCCTGTGAGATCTCGCATGGTTTAGTGGGGAAACAGATGCAAAAAAACACAGACTGATGCTGTGAGAAAAATATATTAAATGTGAAGCCCAAAATTAACCAGTCTGGAGGGAAACATTTGTGGGGAGACACGGTCAATGCAGATCGTCTATATGTCAGCGATCACATGATGATGCTAGCTTACTTTAGCATTGGAGCTTGGATTCAACAAGTGTTAGGATACGCAAAAAATGTAATATCACTGAGAGCTGTGAACTGTTCAAGGCGTCTGCGTCAGATCAGATTTTTGCTACAGCTTCTGTTCAAGTCAGAGTGGTTATAATTTCATTTAAAACATCCATAATCTGAGACAAGTCTTAAAACTGGCACTGTGCAATTTCTGGCCGATTCAGACCCGATTTTTGAGCCATATGTCTCATTTTGATGTCGGGCGCTTGCAGTGTACAATGAGGCATGACGACCGATCACCATTCAAACCGCTCCGCTCCTTATGAATTTATGACATGTTCGATTATTTTGGTCGCACGACCGCACACAATCACACATGCAGTGGGATCAAATCCACGAGCCGACTCCGGGACTTACCCCTCTTATTGTACCTGCACAAACTGACAAAGAGCGTCTGAAATCACCATGGCAACAAGAGGCTAGCCCTTTTTTTTATGTGTTATTGACTATGTGCAAACAACTATACATGATGTGACTTAAGAGTGTTTTGTGTAGTTTTTTTAAATGTCTCACCTTGTTTGAGTTTTAACTGGATTACATTTGCACATGCAAATCTCTGCCTTTGCATGAAAAAGGAGACAAAAAGGCATTGTCAATATTTTCTAATGGATTCATATTCTGTCAAACTCTTCCTACATTTATGTTCAGGGATATACAATATTTTCTGCTGCTGCTTTAAAGCTGCAGTGAAAAAACAAATTGTCTTAATTATAACAAAAATCTGCAAAGAGAAGATTTATCTGAACTTTAAGGTTTCCAAAAGTTACCAAAAAACAATGAATAAAACTCGCATCAATAACTCATCAGAAGTACAAAACTGCGACTAAACGCGCTCCTGAAAACGTGCAAAACACACGGCACATGCTGAGGATTTCAACACGACTCGTGATAACAGGCTGTTCAAACAGAAACAGATGCACGTTCACAAGCACAAGCACGTTTAAGAGAAAGAAGTGCCGACAGCCTTCAGACTCTCAGACGCTTTTTGGGCACGTTATTCTTTTTCACACGCTCACAAAATACAAAAAAAATCGACTGAATCGACAGAGTGAGAGAGCGGCAGGTGCGTAATTAAAGAAAAACACTTTCACTGCGTCTGAGCCAGGGAGGGAGTGAGGGAGGGGGGTCAGAGTGCACTTCATTATACAGCCTCTGTGTGTGTGTGTGTGTGTGTGTGTGTGTGTGTGTGTGTGTGTGTGTGTGTGTGTGTGTGTGTGTGTGTGTGTGTGTGTGTGTGTGTGTGTGTGTGTGTGTGTGGGATGGGGGGTTACTGGGCAGCCCTTCACTGTGGGATGTTTGGGGGGGTTCAGGGGGCAGATGTTTCAGCTCTGAGAAACATTCTTATCCTCACTTGAGTACAGATTTTATTCCGTTAGTTGTCTAAAATTGCAAACATGTCTTAAGTTCTCAGCACTAAAAACAAGAGGAGGGGGTCTTTGCAGAGAGGACGCCGCTCTCCTTAATTAGCGCACAAATTGAAGCTCTAAGAAGCACGGGACAAAAAGAGCCGAGAGTGCTGACAAGCAGCAAGCTTCAAGTTCGTCCCTCGCCTTCAGGAAGCATTTTCAGGAGGTTGTTTTTGCTACGTAGAGAATGTAGATTTCCACCGACTGAGTTAAGAACTTAGACTGTTTTTTCTGCACATTTCTGAAACATTTTTAAAATCTTCGTACTGAAGCTTTAGATTTTAAAAAGCGTATATGTGCAGCAGTTGACTCGCAGAATACTCTAAACCAATGAAAACCTTTTAATTCATGTTCATCCGTCAACCTCACCAAGACGACACATTTCTCTGACACACTTTGAGAAACAAAGGACGCAGGGTGTCATTTTTCTGAATCCAGCTGATTGTTTTCCTGAGTCAAGGGGCTTCTTTTAAGAGCCCGGTATTTAAACTTTTTCTTACTTGCTTCATCGCATTTCAAACTGTTCTTTAAGTTCTCAGCGAGCATGAATGTTGATTTCTGGAACAGCTCCTTCATGTGTCCAACACTAAAGTTAACCTGCAGGATTTTATAGCTCACCCCAAACGTTGAATTCATGTTTAAAAATGGAGTTTGTGTGTCAATGATCATGTTAATGTCTCCATAATGAAACTTGTCTTTTATAGTATGTTCGCCAAAGTGTTTCCATCTCCTTATTTCTCCGTCATGGCATCAAAACAATCGAACACTTTCTGGTTCCAGCTTTCTGCGGCTTGTTTCTTTTATTTGCAGGACATGTTAGTTTTCTGTGTGTCGTTGAAGTTGTGCAGCCTATTCCTCATCAAGGCAATCTTTTGAACTGTTGCAGATTGTTTGCCCTCGTTCGCCGCCACAGATCAGGCCTGTACAAATATAGTATCATCAAATCTAACCCAGTATTCAGGGCTAAATCAGAACTTCCTGAGCGCGGGGTAACAGTGTCACTTCTCCCTCTCCATGGGGAAAGTATGCATCTGAAATCTCAGCTCAAGCTGTTTCACCACAGTCCCCAAAAAGAAGCAGAAACAGTGCTGGCCGGATTAAACTCCCAAACGCAGCGAGTGGTTCAGATCAGCTGCAGCTCCGACATGAAGCTGCTGCTCACACTTTGAAGCACAGCGATACAATCAAACCACACAGCTGGAGGGTCTCAAAGTCTCATAATGACAGCAGAGGAAAGCTACTTTTACTCAGGTATCCAACAACTTCACTTCAGCATGACTCTGAGCTTCTATCTCTAAGTTTCACATTTTCTTTAATCTATCTAAGACACAACAAGTCGACGTCATTTTACATTTTATTCCACTACTTTATTTCATTTTTTTTCCCCTTTATGCGATAGGACAGTGGACAGGGTAAACACAGGAGAGAAAGTAGGGAATGACATGTGGGAAACACAGGTCGGACTCGAACCCTGGCCGCCCACCCGCTTGGAGGACTATAGCCTGCTAACATGAGGCGTGACCTCACTGCGAGGCCATCAGCAACCCCACTACTTTATTTTAACAGTGTTTCTAACTTGTTTCATTAAGATATTAAAACTCATCCATCAAGCCATTATCTATAATGCTTATCCCGTTTGGGCTCGTTGTGGCTGGAGTTGATCCCCGCAGACATTGGGCAAGAGGCCGGGGTTACACCCTGGACTGTTTGCCAGTTAATCACAGAGACAGACAACCAGCCACACTCACATTCACACCTACAGACAATGTAGAGTCACCAGTTAACCTAACGAGCATGTGTTTGGACTGTGGGAGGAAGCCGGAGCACCCGGAGAGAACTCACACAAGCACAGGGAGAACATGCAGACTCCACACAGAGTAGCTCCTGTCAGACGGGGATTCAAACCTGGAACCTCCTCGCTGTGAGGCGACAGCGCTAACCACTGCACCAGACATTAAGATGTTACATTAAAAATACATTAAATACGCTCATGAAATAAGCAGTATAGTAGCATAATAAGATACCAAACTAGTTAAAGTAATTCCCCCTCCATCAACATAAAACATTTCTCTCTTTCATAAAGTTTGAGTCTGAGCCACGGGGACAAGTGTCTTATAATGTACTACTTTAACTTTGACTGTCCGTCACAGCATAAAACTCTGAATATAATAATTAAAATACTGAATGAGGCACTGAACGAGGACTTAAATGGGACTTTCACATAGAATTAAACTGAATCTCTATATTGAACTTAATGCTACCGTACCTTTAACTAATTCAAATTTAAAAATGCAACTTTTACCCTCACTGTAATTGAGGTCTTACTACTTTTAAAATCCTCTGACAGACCTGAGCATCTTCAGCTTTACACATATATCCACCACAGGGGCTTTCTTTGTTTTTGCAGAACAGCAACACTCATTTTTAAAGTGAATTTTCTTTTGGAAAAAAGTTAGGAACTCTTGCAACTTAATGTTGATTGAAGGATTTTTACAGTGCAATTTAAAAATGTCTTTAAATATTTGATCAGTACTCAAACTAAAGCAAATAATGTGAGTGATAAAACCTGAAATACAGCATACTTAATTTTTTGATATTTAAAACATCCCGCTGCCACTTTTGAGCAGAATTGACCTTTACATTCTCAATTTCTAACCTCTTCTTCTTATTCTTTTGAATATTTGCAGTTTGTACTCAGTCAGATATGTAAAAACATTTCTGCACCGTGCAGTGCGATGAAACATATTTCTACAGTTCTCTTCTGTGCGCACCTGTTGCTGCAGCTCTGCAGATGCTCGTTGTTTTATTTCTGTCTTTAAAGCATCAGTAATGCCCTGCAGCTTTGCAGAAACGTTATACCAAATATTAAAAAAGGCCTTTGATACAAAGTTCACAGAGAAAACGCGCGTAACCACCAGGAGAGAAGCCCAGAGAAGCATCCCAGGTGTGTAGGATGTTTTTGGATTGAATCTGTACTCACTGGTTGAAAGCAGCAGCAGCAGCCATGTGATCCTCAGAGTCGCTCTCATCCTGTTTCTTCTTCTCCCAGATGTTTTTTTATCCTTCATGCAGCGCTGCGCACAGATCCCTCACTCCTTCGCTCCTTGGAGACGTTTTGACGCTTTATGAGAAGCGCGAGTTTGACGCCGTACGTCCTGTCACGCCTTTCTGCTTGAATTTGTATCTCGAGTAAATGATCTCGCCCAACGTATTGTTCACTTTTTTTTTTCTCCGTTTAAACTGAAAGCCAAGAATGCTTTTGTGTGTCTCTCTGTGCAGCGGAGTTGGGGATTTGGGGGGAGAGAGTGTTTCTGTGGTCTCCTTGGTGTACCGCTGTTATTCAGTGTCTCTCTACCTTCCTCTCTCTCTCTCTCTCTCTCTCTCTCTCTCTTGCTGCTGTATTGTCCTCTCTCTCCTGCAAAAGTGTTCAGCCTCTAAGTGAGTGTGTGAGTAAGCAGAAGACCAGCAGCTCTGCCCAGTCCCCCGGTCTGCCCCTGCCTCCCTTATCATGAGGAACCAGGGGCAGACCCAGTCCGGTCCAATCCCAGAGCTGCGGACTCTCTGCAGCCGGGACATTTTGAATAACAAAGGAAGCTGTGAGACAATGTGTTCCCTCCTCTGGTTTTGATTCTTTGCTAAAATGGTCCATGACTCAAGGCCGCAGGGTGAAGTCACATCGACCCTGACGCTGTTTGATGTCGGGACAGGCCTGTTTGGATCCACGTAGTCAGCGCCTCCATCCACCAACCTTTCATTTCAACCCAGGCTAAAGTTCAACATGTCTGCGGAGCTTTGGCTCGAACACAATTAACACAATGGCGTCACACAAATTTAGAAAGACTTAGCTGCTGAGAAACTTCCCCCTAAAGTTTTCTTCAAGAAACATTTTATTGAGCATTTAGAGATTTTATTACAGCCTGACCCTGTTAGCTGATGGCTAAGAGTAAGAGGCTGAAAGGATGTTATAATGTCAAACAGTGTTTCTCAACTGGTTTAGCCGAAGAACCAACCACCGCCTCGTGAATAATTGCGACCAACATTTCAGATATTTTTTATCCGATTAGTCATATAAAGGAAGAATGTGTGACTTTTTGATCCAGTATGTCGTTCTTAAGAAACAACATGAAACCAAATCAAACTGCTGTTTGGCCACACCTCCTCCATACTGAGAAGCTTGAGTCCCGCTGGCTGTGTTGTTGTCAGAGCTGTGCTTACATGGACGGGACGGCCGGCTCCTCCCCTTGTGTATAAAAGCTGTTTTAGTGAAGGACTAAAGAGAAGAAGAAGAACATACTCTGATTATTTGGATGTCACATAAGAGTTGTTAGATCACGATCATTCTGTGTAAGTTTACATGCAACGTGAAGCTACGAGCTAACTAAAGAGCGCTAACATTAGCACGCTAACACAACAATGCAGGACACAGGGGATCACAGCTCGAGCAAAGGGCGATTTTGTCCGCCGCTTGCGCTAAACACCTTCATGAGAACTCGAATGGAGGGTGGTTGGAGGTGTGTCTCTGGAGGAGAGCGGAGGCTTCAGTATGGAGGAGGCGTGGCCAAAGAGCACTTTGTTTTGGTTTCATGCTGGTGCTCATCTACTGGATCAAAAAGTCACACATTCTTCCTTTAAATCTAAAACACAACATATTCCAAAGGACCTCCAGGTTCTTATTGTGCTCTCTCTCTCTCTCTCTCTCTCTCTCTCTCTCTCTCTCTCTCTCTCTCTCTCTTTCATTTCCTTACCAGTTAGCATAAACAGCCAACACAAAGTTTCTGACTCTTAGATCTGTTTTTATGATAAAAATGAGTCACCAGATTATAAAAGTGAAACAGAACTTTTTTATTTACAGAGCACTTAAATGAACCCCTCCTCGTTGGGTCTCCTCTCTGAGTTTTAAATGAAGAATATTCATTTGTTCCTCTTCCCATTAGTCTGTGATGACGCTTTAATTTACTCTATGAACGCTCGCGCTGGGCCAGCTGGCGTTGTGTTTGGCTTTTGGATTAAAGTCGGGGAGCTTGGCCCGGATTGTTGCCCTGCAGGAGCCACCGAGGTTGACTCAGTCGCTTGTGGCCATGACGACGCATATTCACAAACGTCCCAGGAATTGCTTTCAGGCCACTTTCACTATGCCTCCATTCAGCGCGCTCCAAATCTCTCCTGACTGACAGATTCTTCCCAGAATGCAAAAATGAAACAACAACAAGAAGCACGTCCAGTTTTTTTTTGTTGACTTTGTTATCCTCTTGCTGCTATTGTGCGTTTGCAAGCTCCGCTGGCTGTTGTGAGGAAGTCTGGGTTAAAAAAAACACACACACACACACACACACACACACACACACACACACACACACACACAACAGGCGCGATACGATCAGGGGTGTGGAGGCTTTCCGGGGTGTTTCCTTCCACAGGAACAGTTAGGAGTCATTAATAAAAACTTTAGAGACGCAGCTTCAAAGATGAGACATCAGGCGTCACACTCCGACTGCAGAGCTGAAAACGCACACAATCTGATCTGAGGATTGTTGTGTAATTGTGTGTGCACATGAGGATTAGGATCCTTCATGGTATGGTGTGAGTGTGTACATACAGAGGGAGGCTGCTGCTGTTTCGTACCAGAGTGTTTGTGTTAGCCTGTAGGCTATCTGTCTGATTATATGTCTGTGTTTACATTTGTTGAATGTTTGAGATTTCCTAGTCACAGTTTTTAAATGACGCTTAAAGCTACTGTTAGCCTCTGGAACATCTGGATTCAAACATAGACTATGTGGATAAAAAGTGGATGTAGCGTCTGATTTCAAAAGTGAAGCCAATGTACTGCCTCTGCTCCCCGTGTGCAGAGGCCGTGGTCCTCAGGGTGGGGGCGGCTCTGGTTCGAGTCCGACCTGTGGCTCCTTTCTCGCATGTCATTCCCCGCTCTCTCTCCCTCTCTCTCTCTCTCTCTCTCTCTCTACTGTCCTATCTCTATAATAAAGTCACAAAAAGCCCCCAAAAAAATCTTTAAAGAGGACATATTGCACCCCTTTTCCAGTCCGTGGGTGGAGCTACCAAGGGAAGGGAGGGTATTTTTTTTACCAGAATCCCACTGTGACATCACAAGGAGAGCAAATTTGAAACGGAGCATTTTTCTCTGTGTTGTAAGACTTATACAGACCACAAACAAAGGACTGGATGGGTTTATTTCACATTTTGTGGGTCAGTAGACACTCAGGTTACCAAAATATATGTTCAGAAACACTGTAGAAGTGTTTGTTTAAAGCCTGTTGTAGCTAGCTGAGATCAACATTTATATCACTGTTGTTTCCTTCCAACCAGGCTAATGCTCTGGGTGGCTGCCTTTGAGTTTGGGATTCTGCTGACATTTGAGCTCTCAAGGCAAAAAATCTCATGATAACGTCTTGGAGCGAAACCTGTTGCTTCACCCGACACTTCTGCTTTGCTGTTTTTCCGTCATGTCATGTCTCAGGAGAGCCCCCTCCACCCCGCCCCCTTCCATTCGACAGGAAAAGTCTCCTGCTGTGAGGTTTATGTTTGAACGATCAAATCAGGAGGCTTTCAGAAGCAGTCCTCCTGACATTCTCTAGAAACTCAGAACATTAGTGTACCGATGGACACACTTAGTGTGCATACAGAAGGTGAAAATGATTGTGAATTTTTAGAGCACTTGGATCTAACCCTGCATTCATGTGGAGTTGGAAAATGCACATGAACGCCTGCTCAAGTCGGAAACTCTGAAGAGAGAGTTAGGTTCCCTGGCTTTCCTACCTGACGTCATATTCGTCATCAAAATGGTAAAAGATGTTTTGTTAATGTTGAGATAATTCACGTATTACACATCAATGTTTTGCTGAAATGTAACTTGTAACAGAGACATTCCTCACATCTTCTTGTAGCATACACTCAACATTAACAACATGTAACAACATTTTGACTTTCTGATGTGAAAGCATGAACATACTAAGGTCGGAAGAATGACTTCCCATGTTGGAAAATGGGACCCTCCGAGGAGCACCTGAATGCAGCATTTAACCCAAGCCAACGCAAGCAGCTCACCTGATTGGTGTCACCTGTGTCTGATTAGCCTCACCTCCACACAGTATTTAAGCCACCAGTTTCCCTCCCTCTGGTGCAGTCTGTGTTTGTCTTACCTGCCGAAGGATCCTCATACTTTTCAACATTTTTTGATCCCTCACCTGTGAACTTGAAAAACTGATTTATTTCCTGGCTGTGCTGTATAAAATCAGTCAGTGAAATCACCCAAACTTACTTGTATTAGCTTCTTATAAGACCAGTTGCTTTAAGAATAATTCTGCTCCATATTAGACTTAAACCTGAAGCCTGATTAGACCAGCACTAACCCGATTGTTGAGCTGAAGTGGAGTTTGATGTGTGCTCTCTGTCACTTATCTCTTTATTGCCTCCTTTTATGCAAATGAGAATAGTTTGTTTTTCACAGTATCAGGATCCTCTCCTGAAGAAGAAGTGTCTGGTGCAATCAGAGAAAGTTATGCCACTTGTGTTTTCCCCTCAGTCAGATCAGAAAAGCCCATTAATGTGTTCCTGCATGCATGAGTGCCAGCAGCCGTCCTGATTCCTGCAGCTGGTGGGAGGAATGTCATGTTAGTTTTAGTGTTCGGAGAGCGGTTTGATCCTGGAGCTCCTCACACATTTCACCCTCCATTACCTCCGTGTGGCTGGGATGCTGCTCCTCACAGGGCCAGCTGGATCCAGCACAGACGGACTGCAGCCACATCAGCGCTTCACTGAGCTGAGATCAGTGAGAACATGACAGCTGGAGGGAGGCAGAGGGGGGGGGGAAGGATGTGTCACCGAGCATCCTGAATGTGACCGAGTTAGTTTCTGCTGTCGCTGGTCGGTCTGTCAGCCGAGACCCAGGATGGAGGAAGGATGTTCTTCATCCTCTTTGATGCTCTGACACTTTGACTGCTGATCACAGACTCCTCAGTCTCAGACTTTGTATCCGCTGCGAAGTGCGGATGATCTTCGTACATGCACAGAGATTTTTTTTTTTCCAAACTGAATATAGAAGAAAGCTTTTAAGTTTTCTGCAGCAAGAGCATGGAGCAATCTACAACAGATCATACACTAAACTAAGTTACCCTGAATGATTTTCCTACATGTATACTACTTACAATTTAGGGCCTTATCAGGTGGGCTGGTATGATATCGGGCGCAGAAGGAAGGTTAATTTATTTGATGTAACGCATCACTGGTTTTGGCCATGAAACCCTCTGAGTGAAACTTTCCTTCTGGCCATTTCCAGAATCTGAGGACCATCAGCATGCTGCAAACCAAAACCATTGAAGTGAGGCTTGCAGACATTTAGCCGTTCACAGAAAACTGTTAAAACAATGTAAAAGCGCTATGTCAAATATTAAAAAACCTTTTTATTTATCAAACCAACATCAAATGTTGTCTG